AAAAAAAAAAAAGGATTTCATTATAAACCAAGAAGTTTATGGACACAGAAAATACTCTTTAATAAACGAGGTTGAAACTTCCTGTAGAGATAGGTCAAGATGCTGAAAAGGCCAAAGGCAGTTGATTACCATACAACCTGTGAAGTGTCCATTTTCTCTAACATGTTCAGAATCTCAAGAACTTCAAAGAGTTTTTCCAAATCTAAGTTTGCTTTTGTACTCCCCAGTATCATGCCACTGAAACTGCTCTGCTGATTTCCTCATGTAACATATAGGAGCTACACCACCAATCTATCATAACTCAGCCAGTACCAGAATCATTTCACCAACCTACAGCAAAATAATACCTAGCAAAGGGGCGCCTGGGTGGTTCAGTTGCTAAGTGTGTGCCTTCGGCTCAGGTCATGATCCCGGGGTCCCGGGATGGAGCCCCGCATCGGGCTCCCTGCTCGGCGGGAAGCCTGCTTCTCCCTCTCCCACTCCCCCCTGTTTGTGTTCCCTCTCTCACTGTGTCTCTCGCTCTGTCAAATAAATAAATAAAATCTTTAAAATAATAATAATAATACCTAGCAAAAAATTTTGTGTAGTAGTAATGGAAGGTTATTCATACAACTCTCACAAAAAGATGGCCTAAAACTTGGGCGCAGAGCCAAAAACACTAAGTAGATAACTGGCTACGAGCCCCACACAGAGGCTGAAACCCTTGAAAGAGTTCTTTCTACTGCTGCCTCTCATTTCTCCTCTCCCATTCTTTCTGGAGCCTGTTTTCACCAAGCTCCTCTCCCACACACAAGTAGTTATTAACGTCACCAACGACCTCTACGTTGCTAAATTCAATGGTAGATTCAAGGTGCTCGTCTTACTTGACCTATCAGCAGCACTGGACGGAGTTGATCCTTTCATATTAATTGAAACATGTGCTTCACTTGGCTACCAAATTACCACACTCACCTGGTTTTCCTTCCACCTCACTGCTGACCCTATCTTGCTGGTTCCTCCTCATCTCCTGGCATGAAATAGTCCCTGGGATCAGCATAAACTTTCTATCTACTCTACTCCCTTTGTGATCTCAGCTGAGTTCATGGCTTTAATAGCATCTATATGCCAAGAATTCCCAAATACACATCTCCAGCCCGTACCTCAGGATGCACGTACATACTGAGTACATCTCTTAAGACACCTCCTCTTGGAGGTCTCAGACATAGCACATCCCAAACTGAGCTCCTGATCTTCCCCAGCAAACCCCTATTGCTCTGTCCTCATATCAGTAAATCACAATTCAATTCCCCCGGTAGCTCAAGCCAAAAACCCTGGTTGGAGTCATTGTTTACTTCTCTTCACTCTCCATATTCAAACTACCAGCAAATCCCATCAGTTCTGTCTTCAAACTGTATATCCACATAATCTGGTTTTTACCTTTCCTTCCCCTCCCATCTTTCTTTTTCTTCCTTACATTTCCCGTGACTGAGATGTCAGCTTCCGAGGAAGCAGGGCAATGAGGATATGGGGCTCTGTGTCATCATCTGTAGCAATGTGCCTGGTATCCAAGGAAATGGGATGATGTGTGAGAGAGGGGGCTGTCCAGTGTCGGTGGCAGCACGCCCAGGCTGCCAAGGAAATGGGGCAGTAGGAGGGAGAACAAAGTGGCAGATGGAAGAGGCAGCCTGAATGTTTATGAGAATGATGACACTGAACAAATGCCTTAATCAATTGAGCAAATAATCAAATATATCTAAAATACTTGGAGCCAGGTTTCTCACTGTCTCAGAAAGGATGCACAAACATGGAAAGGAAAGAGCCTAAGAGAAACCTAAGACGTTGGACTGGCATTGGAAGTATTGGTATGAGCCCATTTCTAAAAAATATATGCACACAGAAGAGTTATAGATGTTTGTATACATGTGTGTATCTATACACACACATACATGTCCTAGTTCTGTGGGCTGAAAGGTCCTAGAACGTGATATCCCAGTAGCAATGAAAATACTGTGTGGTCAAATCTTGGATACTAACTGCCATCCTTCACTAAATGAAAGTCCATTAAAGAGCTCTTTGGAGAAATGGCTGATTCCAGAGCTGAAGCAGGGAAAGCGCAAGATAAGAATGGAAAATCTTGTTGTGACAGAAAATAAGGAAATTCTCCGAGAATGATTGGAATATGTCAAAAGAAAAAAAAGGAGCTGATATGAATGGATTCCCACTGGTCAAACTGGGGAAAATCTGGGCATCGGAATAAAATGGGAGTACCAGATTTTAACCCACTGAATCAAATAGGAGTCAGTGGGTCCATAATGAGATAAACACACACATACACACACATACATAGAGAAAGCTCTTTCTTACAGTACAATGTCAATTGACAAATGCAGACAGAATGACAGCAGACATAATCACCATTTGGCATTAGAGTGGTAGTTGATATAGGCAGGAACTACCAGTGGAGGCTAGGGCTGGCGGGTGGAGGTTTAACAAGGAACAGGATATTGGTGTGATGTCAGATTATCTCCCCCAAAACAGCAATCAAAACAATAGTGGAAATAGTGACTTTACAGTGGTGAAACCTGACAGATACCAACTGGAGCATGCGATCAAGATGAACCTCACCTTGGGACAGATCAACATAGTGTTGTGATTTGCTGAGAAGAGCACAGTGTGATTTCTCTGGCATTCCAGCCACGGATGCATGGCCTGATTCTGGTCATGAGGAAACCGTGGACAGACCCAGATTTAGGGTCATCTTGGAGACTAAAAGACTAAGAAACCATTCCAGACTGAAGGACATTAAGGAGACCTGACAAGTAAAAGTGATGTGTGTTTGGGGGGAGGATTCTGGTGGAGAAAAGAAAAAGAGCCATTATTAAGACAGATGGTGGGGGCCTGGGTGGCTCAGTCATTAAGCATCTGCCTTCGGCTCAGGTAATGATCCCAGGGTCCTGGGATCGAGCCCCGCGTCAGGCTCCCTGCTCGGCGGGAAGCCTGCTTCTCCCTCTCCCACTCCCCCTGCTTGTGTTCTCTCTCTTGCTGTGTCTCTCTCTGTCAAATAAATAAATAAAATCTTAAAA